CTACTTATCGTCTAGAAGTAAAACCATATTAAAAATTAAAAAAAAAATTTGTTTTATAAATTATAACAGTTAATTTCAATGGCAATTTTATCTTTGAAATGCATGCTGTTTCATTGTAGAAGAAATATATCGCCACCTTTCTATGTTTTTGAGATTTGAAAAACGTTTGTTACGATTTTAAGAAATTTAAATAGTTATAACTTTTGAAGAGAACGATATAGATTAAAATTTTCGTGAATATTTTTAATAAGAATTTATTTGTATGTTGAAATTCAGCTTTCTAGCCTAAAGCGTATAGAAGTTCTTTTTTAATAGACAAATAGGCACATGATCGGGATGACGGACAAAGTAACACTAATAAGCATTTTCTCTAATTTTTCTTTGTGAAGAATGGTAAAAAATATTCAAGTAACTATGTACCTATATCATATAAAAATTTGAAATTTAGATGAAGAAATGATGAATAAAAAGGAAACATAAATTGACTGTATATAGATCAGAGAGAAGGCCTAAAAGAATTCTGTTTTCTTTTCTTATTCCTAGATATTGTAAAATTCAAAAAAGAAAAAATATGCATATAGGTATAAAATTTCCTTTTCTAGGTCCTTTTATGTTGCTCTTCCAATTTCTTTCCTATTTTTTTCTTGTACTTTTATATTTTCTTCAAAGTAAAATATAAAATATTATGTTCAATAAATTCATAGACGTAATAAGAAGTAGAAAGAAAAAAAAATAAGTAGAAAAAATGGTAAAAAATGGAAAAATTCAATTCCTTCATATCCATTTTATTATTATTTTTATTTTTATTATTATTATAACGTTCTTATAAAAGTTTTTCATTTTTTTTTGAAAATTGTATACAAGAAAGATTCATCAAAGGATTCTTTTTTAATATAAATATGCTTCTTTTATTTTACTCTTCATGTTTTTTTTTTATACTAATTTTACATGCTCATATTTAAAATAAGCGTATGAAAAAAATAACATGGAAAAGAAAAGCCTAATAAAAGTTAAAACAACAAAAAAAGTGTTAATAGTAAAAGGAAAAATATGCAAAGAAAAATAGGAGAATGAAAAACTTTTTTCCGCAAAACAGAATCACAAGAAAAAAGAAAAGCAGAAAAACATGGAAAACTTTGAATATTATAACAAGAATACTAAAAAGTTCCTAGATATTATACACAGGATATTTATTTAAATGCTATGTATACACATGGTTAGAAAGGTTATGTTTAAAAAATGTTGTGTAAGTATGGCACCTATAAACTTTTAAGATTCTTTCTTATAATTTTGTCTTCTTTACATGTTTTTCTTTCCTCTTTTATTATTGTATTAATTTTGTTTTTCCGTTTCTATATCATTTGTGTTTTCTATGAGAATAAACCGTATATATTTTGTATTATAATTTTTAGTTTGAAAATCTATGGCTCTATAATTATATGCTAGATATTATTGGAAAGTAAAAGTTTTTTCCTTTATCATATTTTATAAAACAAAAAAAATAAAGAAATATAGTAAACCGAAAAGGAAATGATATAAAATTGTGGTTATAAAGGATATGATTTAAAAAAAAACTACAGTAGCCTCCTATTTTATATGGAATTAAAATTAAATCAACAATTTTACAATTAAGTAAGGTAATGGCATTCAAAAGTTTACAGAAACAGTTAAACATTCATAAGAAGTGTGATGATATACAATTACATAGAAAATGTTAACCAATTTAATTAAGTCGGTTAGGGCCAGTTATAGGTTGTATGTAATGTTGCATTGTGATTCAAGGCTCATACAGCCTAGATAGAAGATACATGCTGACTTTATATGTATAGCTGTGAACGGCTGGCAGGAGCGAGGAAATAGTATACCAATAAAACAATTGGCCGATCGTTTTCTCAGTAAATAAAATTAATGGCTTGCTTATAATCGAGAAATCAAAAACTGATTTCGCTGAATTGTCTAGACTTATTGGTGTACTCACTGGACAATGTCTGTTGATGACTTAATTGAAAAGAATAAGCAAAACGGAGCGTGTGTTTTACTGATTTTATTAGGAAGACGACGGTGGTTGAAATATTTTGTTAGTTATTTTATGACCATGGTGGATGTCCTGTCGATGTATTGATGTAGTATAATACTATATTTTGTGAATGAGAATCTCAAATAACAAAATGTTCTTACAAAATAATTTTACTATAAACATTTTACGTTTTTTTAATATGATCCCTGTACTCTATATTAAATTTAAAAATGAGACAAGTTTATATTATATAAAGGTTAACACATATGAAGTGTTAAGATTTCTTATTCTTTTTTTAAAAACTTCAGATTTTTCTTTAAAATCTATAATACTAAATTAAATTTTCCTTAGGCTTTTCTTTTTACTATATACAATAAGAACTATACAAAAATATTAATTTCGTAAGAATGTTCTCTTAACCTATATAATATAATATTATCGTAGATATTTATATATAGCATAAAAGATGTAGGAATATTATACCTTGTGAGCTAAAATAAATATTACAATGTATATATAAGTATGAACATTTTAATATCACTGTATTTAGTAAGTATAAGACTCATAACACCATAATATCCTTTAATATTTAACTCATATTTTTTTATTTATTTTTTTTTGTTATAAAATGTAAACACAAGCGTGTCTGTGTGTTTGTTTTGTATGTTAAATGTACATTTTTGTGGTAACAAGCAACAATACTGATTAAGTCAAAATATGCATTTTTTAATTATATTTTATATTTCAATTTCTTGTAATTAATCTATATTCTGACAAAATTTTGCTGATATATTCGAATTAGTTCTGAAATTAATGGCAAAAATTTCATAAATCTATCTTTTTCAAAAATTTAATGTAGTCCTTAATTATAATATGTTGAGGTGGGTTTGAAAGCTTTTTGAGAATCAATATCAAATTTTGTTTCTATTCAGTTCTATGTGAATTCTCTCGCAATTTGAATTGTGTTCCAGTTTGTATATTTAAACAACCCGAATAACAGTGCACCGCGACCAAAAATGAAGATCTATTAAGCCCACCTAAAGAATCTGTAAGTAAATCCACTTTCCAGGCATAGCCTACTGCTCCTACAGAAACCCGACCAAGACCCCGTTGAGAATTTTCACCTTATTCTTGCCTAACCCTACAATCTTCTCAAAAGTCTTCTGGTCATAATATCCCAGAAGGTATTTAGCTTATCAAAGCTCCGAAACACTTCTTTAGCTCTTCGACCACCTCCTCACTGATTCCTTTCTTAGTTCCCAACTAAGAGTATCTGGTCCGATTCGGAAAAAATGCTCCGGACCAAAAAAAAATTGTATTAGCTATCCTCGCCAATTCGTCCGTTACCTCATTTTCTTTTATGCTCACTTGGTCCGGCACCAAAAACAGAGTGAACCAGTTGCGCCTATCCAATTTATTGAGCATCTCAAGACCGCTCCGTACTGTAACTGAATCAAAACTTCAAATACTTTTCTCAAAGAAATAAGGATATACTATGCATACTATGCTTGAGCATTGAGTTTTTGTAAAGTACATTTAATAAATCGAGTTATAAGGAAATTTTCTGAATGCTATTTTTCTTTTTTTTTATTTAATTAATAAAAACCAAAAATAATTTAATTTTTTCCAGTTCACTTTTTTCTTTTTTCCTACAGTTATATTAATTATAATTTATTCTAGATTTTATTATAAAATATTGGTTTCTTTATGAAATATAAATTTCTTATATAAAATTAAAGTTTTGTAACTTTCATATAGGATATACACATACAATATAATATTGTATATAAATGTGGCATATATAAATTGTATGGAAGAATTCACTAGAATTTAATTTAATTAATATATTGTAAGGCTAACGATAAGGTCTTGATAACTTTTCATAAAAATATAAAATTTAGTTATCATAAAATTAAATTGGTAAACTTAATAAATTTAATTAAATGATATTATAAATTGAGAAAGCCTATAATATTAATATAGATTAAATTTTATTATATTTATTTTAGAAAGAAACTACCACAAAAAAACTACTTGGAAATATAAAATATTTGTAATTTCATCAAAATTTTCTGACCAAAATGTCAATAATTTGGGTAAAATGTGGATAACTGGTTACAAAATATTGCCCCCCTCTGTAAAAAATTAATATTAAGGATAAATGTTTTAAATTCTTTATTATGAATTATCAAAAATTAAATCCAGTTCGATTTAAAACCTAAGGAATTACTTTAATTTTTGTCAGCTTTCGATCACAATTCATGAATCTGAGATTTTCGGAACTCTAACCAGTTGTCCGTTCTCTGGAAGAACTAGAAGAAATAATTTAAATTTTTTCAATGATTTCTTTGAAAAGAAACAATAAAAGGCGACAGTCGTGTACGCAAAAGTTTGTGTAATTGTATAATTATAAACATTGTTGTGAAAGTAGGTAATTTACTTTAAATAATTACGGCAGCTAATTGGGTTATGACAGATGTAAATTATGTATTCTAATAACTTTGAATTAAGACTTCTTCAAAACAGTTTATGGAGGGCAATTGTCCCTTACAAAAATAACTATTTATTTATATGCCATTTCTATCTTATAATGAAGCACAATTGTTCCATTATTATTATTGCAAGACTTAATAAAAGAAATATTTGACTTGTTTCAACAAGTTCTTAGGTGATTTTCTAAATTTTAAAATTATTTTTACAAACACAAAAAATTTTTATATTTTAATTATTTAAAATTTACTGTAAAAACAAAATAAAGGTAAAGGTGATTTTCTGTGTTCATAAAATTTTCTAGAATTCTTTACCAATTTAATTATCATTATTAATTATTAATAAGGGCCATTTTAATAGTTGTTGCGTGTCTGTGCTTTTCAAAAATTAATTATTTAAATAATTTCGATAAAATGATTGCATTTTTAATTAAATTTCATTTTTTTTCTTTTTATTTTAGGTAAGATCGTCTTCTAATTAATGACTACTACGAATATAATAATTACTATCAAAGGTAAATATTAATAATTAAATAAGTCTTTTCAATACAAACACACTTTTAATTGACTTCTATTTCAATCACATTGACATCAAATTAAATAAAAAATTTTTTCTTATTATTTTCAAATTAAATAAAATCAATAGCTTTTGTTGCTATTGCATTATTTAATCATTATTTTATTTTATAGTAGAATTTTTTCTCCGAAATTTTTAATTTTAGTTCAAATAAATTCGACAAAATAAAGAAAAACAAAACCTCACACATAAAAATCACAACATTTTAATTGAATTCACATTATGCCTGTCTATAAAGGTAAAAAAAATAAAAATTTTCCTATAATTCTTGACAAAATTTTTCCATCAGTCTAGACAATAAAAAAATATCTAAACTAAAATACAAATATTTCACATATATCAAAAACAGAAGAATGAACAAAATAATGGGACTTTAATGACAGATTGCTAAATTATATTCAAAAAAAAAAAAAATATTGCAAAAAAAAATCACAAGGACAAAAAAACTGAGTATAAAAAGGAGGATTTTTAAAAACAAAATTGTTTTTTTTTACATAATACAAATAAAGAAACAAGAAAAAGAACAATAGCAAACAATAGGAGTCCTTAATAGCAAATCCTTAATCTTAAATATGTTTTCAGTCTAATGAACCGATAAACTTTCAGTATTAAATTACGCACATTATACTTTCTTAAAAATTTTTAAGAAAAACAAAAAAAGAAACATAAAACGAGTGTTTTTAAAAATTGTGTGAAAAGGACAAATCCGAATAAAATTTTCTATACTTTGAAAAAAAAAAACAAAAATTTATTTACTAGTTTATTTTTTTGATCCTTTTCTAACCCTTGCAATTTTGAGGTTCTGATATAAATAAAATCTTAAATTCGATAAAATTTAGTGGTCAATAGAATTTTTTTAAATTTAAAAGTAATTTTGATTTAGAAAACGTTCTGTTTTCAAAAATTGTTAGCAATTTATGTGCATACTCTTTTTATATCGAAATTGATTTTAGACTTAAGAACAACTTTCTATAATTATTTTTAACCGATAATTTTTCCTATATGCAAATTAGGTTTCATATATTAAAAATATTTTAACTCAAAAGCCCAATCTCTAATATTTCTCAACAAATGTTAGAAAAATCAACCCACATATAAGTAGCATAACTCTTTTATTGGGCCTACTGGCCTGTGTACATGGCAGTAAAAACTATTTTATTACAATATATTGTTTTGATTAACATTGAAATGCAAAGAAGTCTAATTTTGAAAAAAGCATTTTATAATTCACGCTGTTCTATTGAAAAAATTTTTTTATTGTAATAAAATTTTTCACACTTTCAGAAGGAGTCTAAAATGAATATTAAAAAAATATACTAGATAAAGATAAAAAATTTACCTGGGGCAAATGAAATGAAAATAATGAAATATTTTTAGACAAAGAATAAGTTACGGTCATTTTGTTGTTCTTGTATAAAGCCTATAGGAGGAAATGAAAGCCGAAAATGGGCATTTACTCCAATCAAAAATGTCTTAGCTCAAAAAAACGAACAGTACTTCAGAGAAATTAGCTTCAGTGTTAAAAATAACTTTCAATTTGAGGAATGCATTGAATATTGTTAAATTTAAGTATGCTTTTTCAGGTTTGAAGAAAAAATATATAGATATATTTTTTTTTTATTTGCTCACTTCGACAGTTATAATATAAGCAGTGAAATGTCAAAAATTTCTATTTTCACTACCTTTTAAAGAATAATTATAATTTGGCATTGTCGGAACACAATGTTAAAACTATGCGTTTGAAAAAGTATATTTTATTTTAGGTAAAATAAAATAAAAGGTTAAAAAATATAAAAGGTTAAAAAATTTTATAAGTGAATAGCAGATAAACAAGCACATTCCCGAAATCCTGTTAATAAGCATACTTCTTTAAGAATTTTATTTCGGTATGCTTTCTGAAAAATATTACAACAATTTTTTAAATTGAAATTAATAATCTCATACAGAAACACTATAATTGTATACAAATTTAAATTAAATTTGGGCTTGAAGTCTGATGTGAGAATTCATTCAAGGAAGATAAAAATGTAGATTTCGGAAAGAATCGGAATATGTTGCAATATCAACTGTAGAGGAATATTAAAAAAGAAAACTAATCTTTCAATAGATATCCTTTTTACAATAACGAAATTTTTTCAATCGAAAACAATTTCAAACCCGCAGCTAAAAATCATACAATTTTTTTTATTATTGAAAAATAAGTAAATTTAAAAATGAAAAACTATAAACCTTCCATTCAAATTTACATTGAGAAAATGTCGTCTATAATAATTTACAAAAAAAAGAAATACAAATATTATAATATTGTATAAAGAAACAATAACAACTATAATAAAAAAAAGGATAAAATTTAATCAATAAAAATAAAAGATGAAAATAATAGAAAATCATGATTGTAATAAAAACGAAGAACCCTCATTTTTTTTTTTTTGTTTTGGTTCATTGAAATTCTTTACTTTTATTTTTTCTTTTTCACTTTTTTTTATTTTTCATTTTCATTCCACATGAAAAACATTTTTATACCATATCCTTTCCATAAACATACAGACATTATTATTGTACTTATATTATACATACATACATACATAATATGAATTCCATTTTGCATAAGAATATTATTATTATAATTTTTTCTCAAGTATCATTTTTATATAAGTAAATCCAATATTGGCTGGCAACCTTGACCCTTATACAATTCTGTTGAATAAAAAAAATATTCTAAATATTATACGTATAGGATTCATATAAGCATATGAATTTAATGATATGAATATTTAAATGTATGTATTTGTGCATGTATATGTATGCATAAGTATTTATTATAATGCGCACAATATTACCGAAAATTATTTCGAATTATTATCCACTCCATATGCTTTGAATGTCTAACCATATCAAAGAATAATAAAATTGAATAAAAATGAAATGAGTATAGTATGTATGGTTGTGTACATTTGTATGTTAAAATTTGTATTGAAAAGAGTAACTGAAAAAAAAAAATAGGAAAGGATCTCAGATAATATTGTAAGGCTATACACAAGAATTGATTTTTTCCTATACATATATAAAGAAGAACAAGGAATTCAATCAGGCAGGGAACGGGTTAAGGGAGTTTTTAAACTATTTTTTTTTTGTTTCCTTTCACATTCATTGATTTTTATCATTTAAATTTTATTGTTATTTTTTTTTTTGAGAGCAAGAAAAAAATAAATAGAGAAAAGAATGTTTTTTTTTTTCTATTTTAATAGTCAATTTTCATTTTTGGAAAATTTTGTTCAGAAAAACAAAAATTATAGATAAAATGGCGATAATTTAAAAAAATTTGGGCTTTTCTGCATTCATTACTATTTAAGGTTTGCTAATATATATTATGATAACTGTAAGGAATTATCAGTATTAAAAGTGATCTCTCTAAAATATTTTTCCTCTAGTAAATCAAGAAAATTGTGTATACCAAAATAAGCATTGTTTCTACAGAATTAGCTCGGAACAAAATTAGATTTATATAATTATCATAAACATATACGTGAGAATCCATTAAGGAGTGAAAAGCTTTAAATAAAGAAATTCGTAATTATACGAACTTGATGATCTTCTAACATCTACATCTCGTAACAGAACATAATATTTAAATACTTCTATGCGAAAGTCCAATTATCATATAAGGCTGGTCCATTAATATTTTTCAAATATTAGACACAATTATTTAATTGTTTAATATTTAATTTTTTGACTCAGGAAATATTCTTGTAAAAAAAATTTCCAGATTACGGTGTGAGGTAATAATAAATTCTGTATACCATTTTCTTCAAATTTGGTTAACATAATAAAATTAATTAAGCTATAATTTCATACATTTTTCATGACTGGAGCCCATCACATTTAACTATATAACCCATTTAATTTAAATTATTTATTTGATTAGAAATTATTTTCTTCGTGAAAATTTTACTCAACCTGACAATTTTTTGTTTAATGTTATTATTTCTATAACGACATAGTCATCGAAGTGTGACTGGTTATATAGTGGTTTCATGCTCCCCATACACACTCCCAATTCGCGCTTATTTCAATATTGGTCTTATACTTACAATGAAATAATATAGTTTTATCCACGATAACACTATTTTGAGGAAAAATTTTTTTACCATTCGGAAGCATAACCAAAAACTCCATCCCTGTTTAAATCAAAGCAATAATATAAAATTCAAGGAACAAGAAAATGATAAAAAGTATATTTTAATCAAATATCAGTACAGTTTTTTTTTTTTCAAGTATCTTATCATATTCGTTTATTCTTGACCAAACCTTGTACCCATTCAATTATATTTATATAGAAGAGTAAAAACTTAACTATAACAACAAAAATTATAGTGCCCTATATTTTCATTCAATATCATTTTTCACATATCCTTGTACAATTAGGAGTAATAAAAAAAGATATATTACCCTTACTATAGCGTCATCATCAAACCGTTCATCTTTATCTTCAATATATTTTATATGACGTTGGTATATTTTTTGTTTCCATTTTGTGTTTACTCTAAAGAAAAATCAAGCGTATATTATACAGACTGTTTACTTTCCAAAGCACTGTACTATACATACTGTTGTCGCATCAAGCGCTGTGTGTGCAGAGTAAACTTTTGTATGGAGTCCATGGTAACAATTCAATAGGTTCAAATATACACTGACGCAAAGTTAATTTCAAATTTAATTTTTCTGTTGTATTTTTGTGCATAAGTTCAATTGTGCGATTGACTTATTATTTTGCCTGAACTAGCAGTCCTTCAATAACTTTCAATCCATGACTATTTTCTTACCATGAGGTAAGAAAATAGTTGATATACCACATTGAAACCATTATTGGTCTGATACCACATTAAATAGATTCCATGGGTGCTAAAATAAGAGAAATTTTTACTTTAAGTAGCTTGC